CTTATCTCAACCAGCAAAAACCCTTGTTCCTTCCTATTATTGCTTGTACTCTCTCTTCAACAAAATTAGAGATAAGGGCAAAATAGTTTCTGCCGGATATCGAGGGGTTGTGGGGGAGAGAGAGGGGGCGGAGTGGGTGGTAAGGGAGGGGGTGGGGAGAGGGGTTGGGGGGGAGAGAGAGGGGGTGGAGTGGGTGGTAAGGGAGGGGGTGGGAGCAGGGGGGAGAAATGACCCAAGCATTGTATACGCATATGAATAATAAAAAATAAAAATTAAAAAAAATATATTCGTAAATATTTGTTGAAATGAATAATTGAAAGAAATAGCTTCATTTATTTTTACCTCAAAAACTCCTAGAAAAGAATCATTGAAAAGAGAAGTGAGTAAAATCCACACCTGTGAGTTTTCTGGAGTAAAAGAGGTGAAGGAAAGGAATGTAATAAAATTCAGAGAAAAGAAGACCAAACTCACAAGCAGTGGGTGTCTTTCAGCTTTGCCACCTACCTACTGAGTGACCTGTTATCTTCTGGTTCTAGCTCCATCATCTTACATGTGAATACGTTCACTGGCAACTCATAGAGTGGTTATGAGGAAAGGAAAATAAAACTATTTCTCATTCATCATACATACACAGCTTTTGCTTTTTTTTTTTCTTTTAAGGTGCTGGGGTTTGAACTCAGCACCTTATAGTTTATTAATTTTTAAAAGCTATACTATCATCCCTTTTGCTTTTTATTATTTTCCTCAAAAGTTAAGTTTTCCATCTTGGAACTAATGTGTTAACCTTGAGAAAAAAATTGTCCCAAAGTAAATACCCATAAAACATTATTTTATAACTTTAAATTCATTAATAATTTAAAACAATGTCTGTGAGTTTTATGTAATAATACTTCAAATTTCCTTTCACACTATACATGATGTATTTCTAATTCCTGTAACTAAAAATTTTAAACATAATGAAACCATGTTTGAACATGGTTTGTGAATTGTGTAAAATTCTGCACAAAAATAATTTTCTGTTGCTTATCTCTTGAGGTAATAGATTTCATCAGTGTTTCACGAGCATTAATGTGCATGGCAAAGCACACTGAGCAGGGATTTTGTGAATTGTAAGGTTGACTATTTTGTGTGTATGTCTTTTCTTTTTGGTGCTGGGATCGAACCCAGGGCCTCGTGCATGCTGGGCAAGCGCTCTACCACCGAGCTACTTCTCAGGTTGTAGGTTGACTATTTTTAAAGAAACTAGTAAGAAAAGTATTTTCAAAAACTATCTCAAAATTGTATTTAAGGTATTCTTCACAAACATACATTCTGTCTGGCAGAATGGCTCAAGTGGTAAAAAGAGCACCTGCCTGGCAAGTGTAAGGCCCTGTGTTCAAACCCCAGTACCATCAAAAAAGAGTAGTGTAATCTGCACTGTCTTGTCCTGCTTTTCTCCTCATCTTTAAACATAGCTTTTTGTAACAGAAAATACTTGAACATGGTAAAACATAAATGTTTTAGAAATACATGTACACTATACAGTGTCTGTTGCATGTATACATGTGTAGGCACACATATTTCTTCTTCCCTCCAGGTTCACTCCTCACATGTGCTCTTCTGTACCTTGGTCTTCTCACTTAATAAATCATTACTTTTTCAAGTATTGGTGCAGTATATTGACAATCCCCCCAAATTTGGTTGGAATATGAGGCATATGATCTTGATTGTCAAAAAGCACTTTAATGGTTGCCTTCCTAAGGAGTGCTTTATACATATAGTTTAAAGTTTATTTTAATGACTACCTTTATGTTGCTGTTCATTGTTTTTTCAAGGTAGTTTACCCTTATCAGTTCTCACATATCCTACCTAATAATAATTTAATATTCATTAACAAATGGTTGTGTAGTACATTCTAGATGCCTTATGATTGGACATCAGCAAAGCAAAGGCCCCTGCACTCATGGGTTTTATATTCCAGCTCATCTATTTGATCAAGTCAACCTGGATTAACTTAGCTGTTCCCTACAAATAATTTATCTTTGTTTCATTATTTCATATAACATTATCTGTATTTTGCCTTCACAATTTATATCCCCACTGAATAATAACGTTATGTAGAAGAGATTAAAAAGTAGAAAAATACTAATTTTAATGAAGTAAATTGGAACCTTACTAAATTAGAAAGTTATGGTTCATAATTAATTTTCAAGAAATGAGTTGCATGCTACTTATAAATAGTGCATTTTATGAAGTCTGAACTTATGCACAGGTCCATTGTTTATATTTAACTCACACTCAATGATTGAGTGATTAGATGGGTTTATTTTCCCTTAGCCTATTCTTTTAGAAATTTATAAGGACCTTTGAACAAAAACAATTCAGACTGGGGATTGAACTTAGGGCCTTTGCTTGCTAGGCAAGTATTCTGCCACTTGAGCCATGCTCCTAAACCCAGGTCTCAAGAATATTCTTGTTTGTTTTGTTTTGTTGCCATTCTGGAGTTTGAACTCAGCTTCACACTTACTAGGCAAGCACTCTACAGCTTGAACCACACGTCTAGCCCATTTTGCTTTGGTTGCTTTTCAGATATTTTTGAGGGTCTCAGTTTAGATCCTCCTATTTTATGTTTCCCAACATAGCTACAATAGCAGGTGCATGTTACCATGCCTAGCTTTTTCTGTTGAGACAGGGTCTGGTAAGCTTTTTTTGCCTGGAACCAGGATCCTCCTGATCTCAGTGACCAGCATAGCTTGGGATGATAGGTGCATACCACCATGCCCATCTATTGGTTGAGATGGGGGAGTCTCATAAAATTTTTTCTCAGGATGGCCTCAAACCATGATCCTCCCAATCTTAGCCTCCCAAGTAGCTAGAATTACAGGTGTGAGTCACCAGCATCCAGGCAGAAGAATATCTCTATATAGATTCTAGACCCATCTTAAGCATGGTTATCTATAATTGCATTTGTTCCAAATTTGATTTGATATTAGTGAATTTCAGGTTTTTAAATAAGGTGATCTTGCCATAATGACCTTTGAAGAAATACCAATAAGAGTATTAATTTGTTACTATTTAAAATGTTGATCAGCTTCCAGTAATAATAACTTTCCTAATGTTGTACAGAGCTGGTGCTTACATAAGGCAGTTAAACTAGATTTCCAGACTGACTCACTGAAGAAGTTCAAAAGAAATCAAAAAAGTGGCTAGTGTTTCCATCTTTCTAAAACTACTGAGTCATATCTCAGAGATTTAAAGTGTTGGAGAAAGGAGTACACTGCATTTGGAAGACAAATCAAAATTTTGTAGTGCTTTATAAATTAAGATGGTTTAGTTTCTAACGTAACACAGTATTTTATTCCCAGTTATTTTTTTGTGTGTATGTGTGGTACTGGGGATCGAACCCAGGGCTTTGTGCATGCTAAGCAAACACTTAACCACTGAGCTACATCCCAAGCCCCTCAGTTATTTTTATTAATTAAAAGTATATAATATCTTAACTCCTAAGAGGTTATGCACAGATATACTAACATGAATTAAGATTTTTAAAAAACAGCCGGGCATCAGTGACTCACGTCTATAATTCTAGCTTCTCGGGAGGCAGAGATTAGAAGGATCACAGTTCGAAACCAGCCTGGGCAAATAGATAGGGCCATATCTCAGAAAAATCCATCACAAAAAGGGTTGGTGGAGTAGCTCAAGATGTAGGCCCTGAGTTCAAATCTCAGTACAGCAAAGAAAAAAAAGATTTTCAAACAGCACAGGAAGTACTCCAATTGTTCCATCAATAAGGTTGTGTATTCCTGTATATAAAGAGACAGTTGTTCGTACCTAACTTAGTTATTTCATTTTACTATGCTATACTACACATGTTCTATCACTATAAAGTTAAGTTTATAAGTACTATTTATATTGTTAATTACAAATAGTAGTTAAATTTGGGGGGGTTATATCATATATATTTGTTCTATATTAGATTTTCAATTAAGACTGAGATAAACATTAAAGAGTTTTATGTACATATTAGTAACATATCAGTTATGTTTTAAATACAGATTTTTCACATACATGAACTGATTGATACCATTGGCTCAGAATTTAATTCTCAGCTCATCAGAGGTTGTTTTATTTTTCCTTGTATAGCTTTGAAAAGATACATTGTTTTTGGTATTATCATTAACAAAAATTTGTTAGGTTTTTAAAATATGAAAAGTTAAGTGCTTATATTTTTTGATTTACAGAATATTATTTAAAGACCAAGATCGCAACTGGGATGAAATAGAAAGCAAGCTACGAGCCGAGAGTGAGGTCCCCGTCGTGAAAACCTCGAGCATGGTATGCTGACGTTTTTGAAGATTAAAACCTTTTAGTAGCAAAGTTGACTTTAAGGAAAAAAAATGTATATTTTTGTGGTATTTTCTGGTTTACATTGTAAAGGAAGATATGAATGTACAAATTAGGGGGATTTTATTCCTTCAACTGACACCCAGGCAGGGGTTTAAAATGTTAATCATTTCAGAGTTACAGAGAGCAAGAAGGAAGAACTTTTATGTTTTTCACTGTCATGCATCTGTTCTTATGATAATTATACCTTGCAAATAAACAATTTTGAAATTAGAACCAAGCTTAAATATTAAGTTGACATGAGTTGTTTTCAATTACTTAATACAACGCTTATCTCTTTTTCTTAAAAGGATTTTGTACATATTTCTATTGCTTAAATGTAATTCTAGTATTGAGTTTGCAGTTTATTATACATTTTTCTAAAGAAAACTAGCAGACACTTTGTAACAAAGTTGTTGCATGATTGTGCTATATAATTTCTTCAAAATCTTTCTGTCTACAGTAGTAAATTACCTTGAACTTTCATCTTCTTCTATCATGATCTTATTGAAAAAGATTACTCAATTTCATTACTGAAGAGTCTAAATATGAATCTTGTTTATTGGACATCAGTTATTTTATAACATGTTACTAACCTGGTGCTATATCGATAATGTTAAACATCTTAAAATAAGAGTGAGAGATTCATTGCTTGTCATTTGAAAATGTTTGTAGTAAGCTAATTTTTGTTTTCCTGCAGGAGATTTCTTCTATTTTGCAGAGATTCATTGCTTGTCATTTGAAAATGTTTGTAGTAAGCTAATTTTTGTTTCCCTGCAGGAGATTTCTTCTATTTTGCAGGAGCTGAAAAGAGTTGAAAAACAGTTACAAGGTAAATTTACTACTAAATTAATATATAAAGAGCTAATAATTACCTGAGTGCAAAGCCAGCACTCAGGAAGCTGAAGCAGGAGAGCTAACAGAGCTAACAGCTAAATGCAAGTGCATTCTTAAAATATTATTGGGACAATATTTGATTAAATGTAATGAGGTATAAGAATATATAGTTCTGCATATTCAAATTACTCATAAAATAGAAGTTTTAAAGCCAAATATAAAAAGTTAAAACTATAATAAAGTTAAGTCTTGAGTATATTTTAGTGCTTAGATTTGATAATAGGCTAAGTGTTATAAATTAATTATAATATTTATATATTATGTATAAATAATATGTAAGAAAGAAATATTTTTAAATGTGTGTTATACAACTGAAATGCTTATTGGTATTGATAGTTAACATTATCTTATTGGATAATTTTTTTAAGAAATTCACTTTATTTTATTTATTTGGCGGTACTGGAGTTTGTACTCAGGGCCTTGTGCTTGCTAGACAGGTGCTCTACCACTTGATCCACACCACCAGCCTGGATAATTCTTAAATGATATCACCGGTATAACTTCAAATGAACTTGCATCCTGATACAAATAATAGTTGCTTAGATGGCCACAAGACATGAGTGCACATTGGCCACAAGAAGAGAGAAGAAAATAAAGTGGACTGTTTGCCTCCTAAACTTTGTGTCAGATCCAGATCATGCATTAATGCCTATGTGTGTCATGACCGTTGAGTCCCTAGTGGTACAACAATCAGGTTTCAGAGCCGTCTGCCAATTGTGCTCAAATCTTTATTGATTGAATAATCGGAGGCCTGGTATGTAGAGATTCTTAGCTTTCATTCAGACCCGTCACAGGTTGATAAACCACCATAAGTAAACGTGGCTTACTAACACAGTGATTGTTACCTGGTAGAGGGGGGGTATATTTTTGAAACAGCATCTAAATTATTCTTAAATCTCTGCTGCTTCCTTCTTCATTCCCTCACTTTGTCTAACACCAAATTGAAAATCACTACCTGAGAACTCCCTGTCTACCCAAAGGTGTGTTGGATTGAAAGCTAGACTTTGGCCTCTCTCATGGAGGTAGCAAGGTCTAAGTGGCCTGCTGGGACTGCCTGTGACAGTATCTAAGCTTAAGGAGACACAACTCCGTGGTTTGTCCCAGTGCTCAACCAGTATGAATGACAGCATGCTGTGGCAACATTCAGGAGTGCTGCAAATGACTCTGAACCCCATCTGAGCAACTAGCCCTAGTTCTCTAAGTGATAAATAGGGCTGGAAGTGCTTATCAAATATCATACCCAATATTTTCACCGTTCTTTTATAATAATGAAAGCATATTTCAGAAAATCTTCCTGAAATACCCATAAAGGGCCCAGAAAAAGCATTCAGGTTGTATAATCAGTAATATGGATTATCCTCAGGATTATGGAGAGTGGATTTTAAGTGTAGTATTGGAGGCTTAGCCACATTTAAGATCACTTAAACACTGAAACTTGAAGTATTTCCAAAACATAAACAATATTCATACCCATTTTTACTGCATATACAATTATATCTTTTCCCTCTACTTTTTCCTTGATTTCTTCTAGCGATCAATGCCATGATTGACCCAGATGGAACTTTGGAGGCTCTTAACAACATGGGATTTCCCAGTGCTGTCTTGCCATCTCCCCCCAAACAGAAGTCCAGTCCTGTGAACAACCACAGCAGCCCGGGTCAGACACCAACACTTGGCCAGCCAGAAGCTAGGGCTCTGCACCCTGCTACAGCCTCGGCCTCAGCTGAGTTTGACAATACCGAATCTGAGGCTGATTTCAGTATACATTTCAATAGGTTCAACCCTGATGGGGAAGAGGAAGACGTTACTGTACGTGAATGACTTTCTCTTGATTGTTACACAGTAATTGCCTGTGGAATGACTAGGAATACTGGAACCAGCATAGTGCTGACGTACAAAACAAGATGCTTGGTTGGTCAACTACAAGCTTGTTATCCTTGTCTTCTTAAGTTCATTTATTTATTTTTTTTACGTATAATGTGGTGTCAGACCAGTCCCTTTAAACCACTTAGGTATCCACTTGAAGCACATGTAGCAAAAAGCAGATTGTGGCAAAACAGTTTTGCCTTTTTGTGGTTTTATAATTTTCAAACTCAATTATATCATTGCATCCTTTCCCTTCATAGATCTTTGTGGTTTTGTTTTAAGCCATGATGTGACCTGCAAGCAAACTAAGCATCCACCATTTCTGAGTCCCATGTCTCCTGTGCCAAGCTGCTTCCTGAAACGGACTTCCTCTTCACCCACACAAATCTGTTCCACCATTCTATTTGCTTCTTGACTGTAGGGTTTATGCTCTCACTCGTCATCACCGGACACCATGGATGGCACACTGTTTCCTAACGTAAAGCAGCCTTTTTGCAACATTCTGTGTCCTGACATTTTCCAGCTTAGACGTAATTTATATAACTTTGTTGTTACATAGCTTGTCTTGGGGTTTATGGACATTAACTATTATGTTTGCACTAAGATTTACTGGGAGTAATAGCTGACATATCTATAAATCATTAGGGACTAACCATCTTTTTTGTACATAGGAACTTGACAAAACTGTATTTGTTTTAACCCCAGTGTTTTACTCCACTTTCAAAATGATCAATTTGGCACTTTTTTCAAGTTTTTCTTAATGGAAATAAGATTTTGTCTTTCATTTGAGATTAAATGATAACTAGGAAGATTAAACTAGGCAAGTAGCTGAGGTGGAGTATATTTTTAAAACTGAGAACATGTATATTTGTCCTGTGTTACCAAGTTTATATGTGACAGTTGGAAAAGAAAATCCCCTTAAAATGATCATGAAGTTAAAATTCTTTTCGTTAGGAAACTTTGAAAACCGTAGTCATAAGGTTAGTTGATAGCTTCGTTCCCAAGCAGTGAACTGCTTCCGTGTGTTTCCTGTAGGACCCCATAGTAAAGACTGTTGATCTTACCTGTTTGTAAGGACTCTGCAAGACGACACCAACAGAGGCTTTGGGCTCATGCTGCTAGACAGAAAGCCTGTGGAAGGTATCTTCTAGAAACTTGTTTTTCCTTTCCAGTAAGTTCACATTTGGATAAGTTTAAAAAGAAAGTAATTATCTTTGCGTTTCCAGAACACCATAATTTGGGTGAATCTTAATTCTTTTAAATATTATTAGTAGAACTGGATTTACCCCCATGACCTCATCAGTCTATAAAGGTTAAACTGCAACTTTTATGAAATTGTTTTTAATATTTTAGCAATAACCTATGCTACATTTGTTTTAAGAAAGTATCTGTATACTTCAAAACATTGCAGGATTTAAGAAATCCTATTCTGTTGGATCAGTTAATAGAAATGTAGAATCTTTTTGTAGAGATGTACAAACAAAAGTCTGTTGTATAATGGATCTCATATTTTTCTTTAAATTAAAAAAAAGTAAACGAATTATTCTCCTTATAAAGCTAAATTCCCCATTCTAATAAAGGAAGACTGAAAAAAGGTTTTAAAGAATTAAAAGGAAAGATAAATTCTTTGAAGGAACAAATAAAACATGAGCACAGGGTCAGTCCATTTGAAGAAAAAGTTAAAGTAATCACCATTGTTCCCTCTTTTATTTAATCTTTGGTACTGATTATATCCACATGGAAGTAGAAGATAAGGACTTTAGGAAAATTAGAATCTACTTACATTATTGTTGGTTTACACAGTTTTGTTCAATTATAAACATTTGGCCTTTTACTATGTTATTTTTATTTTGTAAGAATACATTATTCTCCTTATTTATTTTTGTTACATTTATTACTTATGTTATTTTGTTATGCATTTACAAGTCCATTTTTAAATAAAGTGTTTCTGGAACTTTATACAATGATTATATACTTTATTTCTTCTACCATCTGACTTTCTAATACTCCTCAGTTTACCTAATGACTATTTACAAACCATTTCCAAGGCTTAGCAAAAGAAAGAACCTTCCAATTTTAATTAATATCTGATCATTGTGAAGTGAAAGCTTATATTATTTTGACCATTTAAAGAGAAATGGAAATGTTTTCTTAAATTATGATAAATAAAATTTACTTAGCTTAGTGCTCTAGTGTAATGTGCACACGCAAATGTTTTTATTTTTAGCCAGCTTTGGATCTTCAGAAAGCTCTGTGACAGTATTATATTTTGGAAACAAAGTAGAAATATGAACTATCTTGGACATCTTCAATTTGAGAACTATTGACTCATTTTTCTCCATCATATCTTAAGCTCAAGAATCTCCACTGTGTCTGTCACTAATCAACACCCTAATTTCCACAGATGGACCCTTTGAGACTTTCCGCAGTCTGTTCCTTGCCTTTGGTATGTGTGTCCCAGGACAGGTTCTACCACGACTTACAAGGTTCTTGACCATCCTTACCTTCATCCCTCTGTACACTGTCTTCCTCACCTTCACCCCACTTATTCCTCCATTCCTCATGGTCCCACTGCCAAGAGGATCTGAGAATTGTTCCAGTCCTCCTTTCCATTCACAGTCCAGGGCTATATCCCAGAGTCTTTCCTTCAGGAGAAAAAAAGTCAATTGACCCTGAATTTTTAATAATCTCATAAAACAACATGTGAACAGCAGTTTAAAAAGAAAAAAGTATGGAGAAAAAATGGTACAAGCACTTGAAACGGTATAGAAGTTCCTGATAAAGTTAAATGTACATCTACCATATAACCCAACCATTCCACGTCTAGGTAGGATGACACCATATGACCATCAGACGCATGCAGAAGGCTTACAATGATTACTGAAGCTGTGTTTGCTGCAGCCAAAATGAGCATAACCAGTGTCCACTAGCAACTGAACAGGTAATCAGTCAGAGATACATTCATAAGATGAGATTCTATTCAGCAATAGGAAGGAGCAAGCCACCAGCACCAACACCAGCCAATTTCAAAATTATGCACACATTGTTTGTTTGTTCTGGTGGTACTTGGGTCTGAACTTAGGGCCTATGCTTGCTAGGTAGGAACTCTTAACACTTGAATCCTGCTTTCAGCCCTTTTTTGGTTTAGTTGTTTTTCAGATACCGTCTCATGCTTTTGGACAGGGCTGGGCTCAATCTGGTCCTCCCTCCACCCCACCCCCCACTTCAAGTGAGCCCATCGCTAAGTCATTGGACAAAGAAACTTTCTAACTGCAACAAAAGAAATTAGAATGCAGCAGAGTAATAATACATTGTTTATGGATATATACCTTTGCAGAAGTATAGAAGCATATATGGGAGTGATACACACTAGTTTCTGAATAGAGATATCTAAGGATAGAGGACAGGGAAGAGGCTGAGCTAGACTGTAATATTTTGTTCATTAAAATTGCATTTTTGTTGACTAAAAAGATGAGAGACCATAAAGTAAAATAAGCTGTTTCATCTTGGCGATATGCCAAAGATTTTATTATTTTATCTGTGCTTTTTTTAGTATGCCTAAATTTTTTCACATTAAAAAAGTTTTTAGACAGGCACCAATGGCTCATGCCTGTAATCCTGGCTATTCAGAAGATAGAGATCAGGAGGATCATGGTTCGAGGCCACCCCAGGCAAATAGTTTGCAAGGACCTATCTCCAAAACACCAATAAGAAACAGGGCTGGTGGAAACAGAGCTGGTGGGGTGGCTCAACTGATAAGAGCACCTGCCTAGCAAGCGCGATACAAGACCCTGAGTTCAAACCCCATTGCCAGCAAAAAATAAAAAAGTTTTAAAATACATCCTCTTTCCCCATCAAACCATTCAAGAATTGGAACTGAGCAAATTTCTGGCATTTTAACAAGAGTAATTTGTTGGTTGCATCTACTTGCCATACACTTAATGGAAACACTTTTTTAATGGCACTGAGCCCCTGTGAAGTTGAGCTAGCATTGGTGAAATCAGAACCACATCCATTAAGTACTCAGTGGTCGTGCGAGTGTAGACACTAGTGCTCACATCTGTTGTTCAGAGCTATATCTTTTGCCTTCTATCAAGAAAACGGATGGTCAACAAATAACTGAACACTTAGTAGAATTAGTAAAGGAGATTTGGAGGTTCTAGCTTTCAGAGGCTTTTTCTTTTTTTTTAAATACAAAGTTGTTTGGGGTTTTGAGAAATGGAGCCCTACAGGGCATGCTGAACTTGACACTGGAAGGTAGCTGGAAGCTGCTCCCACAATCCACCCCTTGACCCCAAGTCAGAGAGGGCAGGCAGAACTGGACAGATCCTTCAGTGAGTCAGAGGCCAGGGCCAGGAGAAGGAAAACAATGTGTTGAACACCAGCACGTGCCCAGGCTCACCCAGTGACTCACAGACTGCTCTCCACAGTGGGGATCAGCACTGTCACATACAGAGCTAGAAGGGATTCTCACGAAGGCGAGCAGCCTGCCAAGGTCACCCTTCTGTGTCAACCCTGGCAGCTTCCAGAGAAGGGTCACAGGACATGGTGTCATTTCTGATTCTGTCTGAGCCACCAAAGATCTTAGGTTGCTCAAAGAAGTCTATAGGGATTTATCCAGAAGAGAGAAGGTTAGAATGAAAAGTCAGTCTGTTGAAGGAAGAAAAATGTTCAATAACTAGTTTTTCAGGTACCTGGGCTCATGAGACTCCAGCATACGGTGACTTACTTTTGGGTGGGTTTTATTCCAGAGAATCCAGCTGGCCTCAGCGAACCACAGCAGAAGCAGAGCCAGCCCTGTTCCGTCCCATGTTCCAGTCTGAACCTCTGTTATATGCATGATGTCACTAAGTACTCAGAATAACTCTGAGCATGTCTTTTTTAGCATTACTGAGGCTAGAACTCAAGGCCTTGCATTTGCTAGGCAGGTGCTCTACCACTTGAGCCACACCTCCAGCCATTTTGCTTTAACTACTTTTCAAATAGGATCTTGCATTTTTTGCCAAGGGTTGGCATGAACCACAATCCTCCTAATTATGCCTCCCATGTAGCTGGGATTA